GAGGAAGGCAATTGAAGAAGCGAAGTTGGGGAAGGCGCCAGGACCGGACGGATTTACCGCAAAGTTTTACAAAAAAATGAAAGAAGAAATTGTTCCGGTCATGGAAGCTTTATCCAACAACATACGTGAGAGTAAGAAGGTGCCGGACTCTTGGAAGGAAGCAATCATTTCATTATATTTATGGTATGACAAAACAAAAATGGACAGCTTCTTTAAGCTTCATGTGGTAAGAAAAGCATTATTTGTGGTATGGATGAGGTATAAAAAATATTTTTGTGATGTAAGACCATTGTGGATTGTACCAGTGGAAGTGTTAACATCTTACTCAAGACATAGAGTTAGATCAGATAAAAGGAAATATGGTTTTAGAGAGGAAAAAAATGAGATGGAAAAGGTTTGGGAGAGTGGAGGGGGAAAAAATATCTCTAAAATGTATAAAGTGTTATTGAAATGGTATACTGAAGATGAGACTGTAAAAGGGCAAATGATAAAATGGGCGATAAATATGAATAAGGAAGTGTCTATTGAAACCTGGGAATATTTGTGGAAAAATTCTATTAAGATATCGCCTTGTACCAATGTTAGAGAGAATTGTTTAAAAATATCTCTAGAATGTATAAAGTGTTACTAAAATGGTATACTGAAGATGAGACTGTAAAAGGGCAAATGATAAAATGGGCGATAAATATGAATACGGAAGTGGCTATTGAAACCTGGGAATATTTGTGGAAAAATTCTATTAAGATATCGCCTTGTACCAATGTTAGAGAGAATTGTTGTAAAATGATGTATAGGTGGTACATGACTCCGAAAAAAATTGCAAATATGAACCAGAATATGTCAAATAAGTGTTGGAAATGCAAGAGCCATGAAGGCTCATTTTATCACATGTGGTGGACTTGTGAGAAAGCAGTTGACTTTTGGACAAAAGTCCACAAAGAAATGCAAAAAATTCTGAAATGCTCTTTTAAAAAGGCGCCGGAAATTCTGCTTTTGGGACTGAAAATGGAAGAAGTCAATACAACTAAAAAGACTTTATTCTGGTACTTAATCACAACAGCGAGAATGATTTATGCACAATTTTGGAAAACAGAGAAAGTGCCAGAAATTGAGGACTGGATACAAAAAGTTCTGTTCATGGCAGAGATGGACAAAATTACAAAGAAGTTGAATAACAAAGAAGACGACGTGTTTTTTCAAGAATGGAGTGACTTTAAAATATATCTGGAAAAGAACTGGGATGTGAAACAAAACTTAGTATGTTTAGATCAATATTAAGTCAAATGATGTTATCTTTAGATTGTAACGATAAGAAATTGATATAGTTGATGATATGAAGTAATTTGGAGCAGGGGGAGAAGCATTGCGGGAAGCCACCGGAGGGAGGGGAGGAATTGGGAACGGGGTAGACAATTGATAGAATGAAATGATCTAATTTTACATGTTGTATTCCTGAAAATAAAAAAAATTGTTTAAAAAAAAAAAAAGGAATATTTTTTTCCCGTGTTGGGATGACCACACATCCCTCCCTGAACCACTTGCATCGCGCAACAAGGCTCCGGGCACCTTCAGATAGCCGCACCACCGCTTGGGCAGCATGGCTTGTTAAAAAAAAAAATTGGCTTTGCGCATGCGCATATGCACATGGCCAAATCACCGCTCCCACTGGGACTCGCCATACTCCCTTGTTCTTGCAGAGGACCCCCCTCCCCACCGGTGATGTACAACTGAGCGCTGGAGTCTGTATGTGTGCTTGAACATTTATACATTGAATTTATTCAGTGCAGGATTGCTCATGCGCGCAACGACGGAAGCTTGTAAAAAAAAAACATCACGAGAAGGACGTTCAGATGACCTAATCATGATCATTGTGAGAGATGGCTGTCCAGAACGGTGAAATCGTGGATTCAAAGCACAAATATCCACAAAATACCTGATTTTCCGGGTGTAGGGTTGGAAAACTTGCTAGGGAACCGGGAGGATTGCACGAGTGAGCCCACTTCGGTGCGGGAGAGGGATGCGGCCGTCTGATCGGCAATTTTAAATGCGAGAGGGAACAGTGGTGAAACCCGATCAAAATGACCGTGTGACCACGGCTTTCATCACTAATAAATAAATAACCCCTCACAGTTGTACAGACACTGGTGTGCAGAATGCTGCCAGACTATAAATCCCAGTGTTCATTACGTTTCCTAGCCTCTGCCTTAGAGACGATAGAGCTGGCTGTACACCAGACACCCCACCAAGGGCTGCAGTGGTGGTGGGGGAACCCTTGCCAAATGCAAAGTATCTTACGTATGTAGCCACGATGCTCTCCGGAGCCAGCATGATCGCCAGATACAGGCACGGTGCCGAGGCGAGCAAACCCACAGCGCAGATGATGGGGTCAGCTTGGGCGTTAATCTTCTTATATCTTCTGGCGGCTTCTGCACCAGTGACGACCCCCAAAATGCCCATGGCAACAGTCATGCCGCCAAAGATCAGGCTGGAAGAAAAAAAAAAATCATCAATTGGCGTTTGTAGCCTTTTACAGTAAGCCATCCTGGCAACAGTAGGATGACAGTAAGATCGGCACCTTTTTTTTCCTTGACAGGATCTGTACTCCTTTTGAACCTGTGTGGAAGGCAGGGGGGTCAAGCTTCCCTGCAAAACCCCCTCTGAGCACAGGGGAAAGGCTGTGCGTAATCTTTGTGGGGGCGGCGGGGCGTCAGCCCCCGCCGAAATTTTTAGGAAGGTGCTCAGCCTCCCCCGGGAGCCACCCTTGCTCCAAGCAAAGCAATGCCTCTGGCCCAGCCCCAGCCCCCCCCCCCCGGGAAATTGGAAAGTCTACACCCTTGCGGGCTACACGTGACTAGTCCCTGCATTTGGTGGCAGACAACCCGAGGGCTTTGTGTATCACGTGCACAGCGTTAGTTTTGTGCCACCCAGAAACACGGCCCTTTTCTGCTGACAACTGTGGCGTGTGGAGAGAAGCGGCTTCAGCCTCTCCGCGCCCCCCCCCCCCCTGTCAATTTCCCCTCCTCAAACCTCGGGTGGTGAAAGCTTCATGGTGAAAATTAGGTATCGCCGTGGAAGTAATGTGATTTTGCAACGAAGCCTACAAACTGTGGGACAGTTTGAGATGCAAAAACGGTGTCCGTGGGGGGCTGAGTTTGCTTCTCCCCTGCACATCGCAATCGTGAGCAGAAAATGGTTGCCTCTAGGGTTGCCAACTTCCAGGTGACACCTGGAGATCCCCTGCTATTACAGTTGATCGCCAGACAGGGCTATTTTGGGGCGGGAACGCACAGGAACGGAGTTCCGGCTGGCTCCCAAGTTGGCCATGCCCAGCAGGAACTCATTAGCATAATAGGCCACACCCAACAGCAGAAACTCATTAGGATTGGCTACATTAGAGGTGTGTGGCCTAACATGCAAAGAAGTTCCTGCTACAAAAAAAGCCCCGTTTTGAAAACAAACAAGGTAAGCAGAATAAGAATCAAAAGGTGGGTGTGGCTGGATGACCACATTTCTGGTAACATGGGGGTGCAGCCTAATATGCTAATGAGCAGTGCTGTCAGGGTGTTGCCTAATATGCTAATGAGTTTCTGCTGTTGGGTGTGGCCTGTTATGCTAATGAGTTCCTGCTGGGCTTTTTCTACAAAAAATGCCCTGTCGCCAGACAACCCCTGGAGCGAATGGTGGC